TTGTACTTCTTGTTGGCTTGTTTGGGAAGTTTGTGGCAGGGTTCCAGTCCAGCCTCCCTCTAGAAGCAGCAGCAGAGCCAGCACGAGGTCAGGTCAGCCGTGGTTTTGTCTAGCAGACTCTAAAATGARAGATTTTTATACATCTCTGATCAGGTTCCAGCACTGCATTACCTCCGAGTGACGAAGCTTTTCAGTAAATCATTTTAATTTCTCAAGCTGCAAACTGTGTATTGCTCCTTGTTACAGCAACTGCCTCTAAAAAGAGAGTTTTGTTCATATCTCTGAGTACCTTTTGAGCAGTTGCAGCTGTAATTAATTATTCCTTGGCCTCCTCTTTACCAGATTTAACCAGTGCAGCTCTCACACCTCTCTTGGTGCAGAACTTGTTCTCAGTCCCTGGAGCATTTCTGTGTCCCTCAGCTCTGCCCTCTCAGTCCCTCTTCACCATTTTTAGGTGTAGCCTCAGTAATGCCAAGAAAAGGGAAATATAAACTTCCCCAGCCAACTGGATTCAGCCCAGAATGGAGTTTTTTTCCAGTGAAAATAGAGAGTTGACCCCATCTCAGYCCCCAGGACCTTCCTCAGCTGATTGTGTCCCACCCTGTGCTGACACATGGGGTTGTTCTCTGCCGATACAAAACATTGCTCTYATCGTTATTGCACTTTATGGAGTTCTTGTTGTCCCACTCATTGCATTTCTCAAGGTCTCAGTGTGTCAAACGTGGTTTTCTAGCATCAAAAATTGAGTTATTTTCCCCTGAGATAGTTGGAGCCATCTGTTTTTTCCTGTCTGAGGATGTCCCAGCCCGGTAATCAGAGTCTGAGCAAACCACCCTTTGCAGRTAGGAGGGAAGGGGTGATCATAAACAAAATCAGAATTTCTGATTTGTGATGAAAAAAAAACACCCCTCAAACAAACCCTATAAAAGTGTTGTTTTTTTTTTTTTCATTATCAAACAAAATAAAATGGAAATAAAATTATCAAAAGAGCAACAAACATAACAAACAGCAACACTGAACAATATATTTTTCAATCAATTAGATTTGTTCCCTTTGGCTCAAATTGACACCTTTTGTTCYCACCTGAGACCTGCAAACTATTTGATTTTATTTTCCTCGTTACAAAATGCAACTCGTTTAACTTCAAATGGAGTTAAATGAGAGGAAAGAATCAGAATGCTCTTTTTAAAAAATGCGAAAGCAGGACATTTTAACAGCATCCAAACCTTTCCTCTGGGGAATTTTTAAAGCTTGCTTTTTTTTTTTTT